CGGTCGCCGAGGCGCGCCGCGATCTTGAGGAAGTCGCGCGAAACGACCTGGGCAGGAAAAGGGTGATTCAAGTTCGCTTCAATATGAGTGTTCCGCGCGCGCGCGTTCCGGAAAAAGCATCCACGCGTCGAGAGCGCTCCGAGAGATGATCGCTCGTCCAAAAATCAGCCGAAACGAGTGGAAAACGGCTGAGATAGGAGCCTTTGAAGTTGGGAATTTCGCTCTCTTTTCCTGCCCTGGACGCGACGACGGTGCCGTCCGCGGCGGCCGCGGCCTCGACGGCGCCGAGCGCGACGGCCGCGAAGCTCCGAGGGACGCTCGCCCGCGCCGCCGCGGCGACGTCGAGCAGCTCGTCGCGGCCCACGGCCTCGACGTCGACGACGCGCCACGCGTCGCCGCCGAAGAACCGCGGCGCCGCGTCGTCGTCGTCGCGCGCGGCGCGCGACGCGGTGCCGAGGAGGCGGAAGCCGTCGTGGACGACGACGTGCTCCGACGCGAGGGCGCGGCCCGGCGCGGACAGCACGCCGCGCCGCGCGAGGGGCTTGAGCAGCGCGAGGACCTCGACGGGCGCGCGGTCGACGTCCTCGACGAGCACCCAGTCGCCGCGCGCGGCCGCGGCCGCGAGCGGGCCCCGGCGCCAGACGAAGCTGCCGTCCTCGGCGAACTCGTGGTAGCCCACGAGCGCGCGCGCGTCGGCGTTGTCGTCGAGCACGAACTCGACGAGCTCGAAGCCGCACCGCGCGGCGACCGCGCGCGCGGCGGCCGTCTTGCCCGCGCCGCGCGCGCCCCGGAGCAGCACGGGCGCCGGCGGCCGGCCCGGCGCCGCCGCGAGGCTCCGCGCCAGCCGCGCCGCGTTCCGCAGGAACGACGGCACGGGCCGCGCGGCCGCGGCGCGCGGCGCCTCGGGGCCACCGACGGGGCCGTACGCGACGCCGAACGCGTCCGCGAGGGCCTCGCAGAGGACGAGCGGCCCCGTCGCCGGCGCGTCGCGCGGCGCGTGTTCCTCGAAGAGCGGCGGCCGCCGCGCCGGGCCGGGCGCGGCGGCCGGGTCGACGTCCCACGCGAAGCGCACCGTCGGGAAGTCCGCCACGAGCCGCGCGGCGTCCGCGGCGACGGCCTCGTCGCCGCCGCCGTCGACGGCCGACAGCGCCTGCGACGCGACGACGCGGACCCAGGGGACGAGCTCCTCGACCGACAGCAGCGGCACGAGCAGCGCGGCGAAGGCCGAGACGGCCCGCCGCCGCCGCGCCCGCAGGTCCGACCGGCACCCGACGGCCCCGAGCGCGTCGGACCACGCGACGCGAGGTCCGGCGAAGGCCAGCGCGCCGCGCGCCGCGAGGTCGAGCAGCGCCTCGCGCGGCTGCGGCGTCCGCGCGCACGCTCGCGCGATCTCGAGGCCGCGCGGCGAGTAGACGAGCACCTCGGCGCAGACCTCGAGCGCGGCCTGGAGCGCGACCGCCGGCGCGGCGCAACCCGCATCGATGGCCGTGCGCAGCTCTT